ACTACTGATTTGAAACTTTACTGGAGGTTTAATGTTATTGCGTTATCAATAAAATGTTAGAGTTAAATGAGTTGTTTACTTAGTTCTTTTATGTGTATGTGTATTACTCACTGAAGATAAATACATAAACTAAAAGCTGGAGTATAGACATTTTTATAAGCATATTTGTGAGCCTGTCACTTTATTATTTGAATATAATTTAATATCTTTATAACTTTTCTTCAGGTTAAAGCAAACTACTGTTACAAGTAAACTTTCTAAACTACAAACATTTAACTGTTAGGGATGCTCAAAAAGGAGATATTGGACTGATCTGGACAAACTGGTGTTATTGCAGATTTGCTGATAGTTTATTTTATAATTTTTTTTTTATCCGATTACTCGATTAATCGTAAGAATAATCGATAGATTACTCGATTACTAAAATATTCGTTTACAACAGCCCTACTAATCATAATCTTAAGAATGTGTATATTCCCATGTTGGATGTGTAGAGTTGATGGGGATACCAATTCTGGCAATATGGGATGAAATAAAATCCATCATGTTTGAATTAGATTAATTAGTCAATATAAAACACAAATATAGATTTAAGTACTGAATTTCACATACGAAAAAGTAATTTTCCTACTGGATATAGATTTTAATGATTACACGTAAACATTCTATTTCATTTGACATTTTATTACAAGTATATGTTTAACAACAGTTTTCAATGGAATGAGAACATTTATTTGTGGCAGGTCCTTGCCAAAAATTGCATCCCCTGCATTTTTACAGAAATATACAGTTGGAGCTGATGTAACAATTTCTACAGTCTTCCACTTGTGTAATGAGCTACCAGTGTTAATTTCATGCGTGTGGGACAATTCTTAGGTTAAAAACAAGGGGGATGCTTTTTTTGGCAGGTCCTTGCCAAAAATTGCATCCCATGCTATCTCAGAGAAGTTGACACTTGTATGACCGTATTCTTGTATATCCATCAGTAGTTAAAGGACAAATTGATAAATACATTATTGTATGAGTTAAGTTCGGTTTCATTTTATCCCTCTTTCCTTGTAAGTTTGAAATGTCCCATGCTCCTGAATGCACCATAGCTATCTGACGCTGACGAATGCATCACACTGGTCTGTGAACCTGTGCTGTGTAGATGCGCGTTTGATTTTACGCTTAAGAGAAAGCTTTGCAATTTCAAAACTCACGTCGGCTATCACGGTTTATTGTTGTGAGTGAAT